TTTCTTTCTAGATACCTTTAAGATTTTCTCTTTTGCATTGACCTTGATGAATCTTATGACTATGTATCTTGGGGATGGTCATCTTGTACAGTAGCTCACAGGGATTCTCTGTATTTCTTGAATTTGTGTGTCCACCCCTCTAGTGAGACTGAGGAAATTTTCATGGACTATATCCTTAAATATGTTTGTCAAGTTGTTTACTCTCTCTTCTCTCTCAGATATGTCAATGAGTCATATATTTGTCCTCTTTACATAATCTCATATTTATCGGAGGTTTTGTTCATTTATTGAAATTCCTTTTTCTATATTTTTTTCTGACTGAGTTGACTTGAAGAGCTGGTTTTTGAGCTCTGAGATTCTTTTGTCAGTTTGGTCTATTCTGTCATTAATGTTTCTGACTGTATTATGACGTTTTTGTAGAGAATTCTTTAATTCCGGAAGTTCAATTTGATTGTTTCTTAAAATGACTATTTTACCTTTCAGGTCTTGAATCATTTTACTGGATTCCTTGGATTGTTTTTCAACTTTCTCCTAGGTCTCGATTAGCTTCCTTGCCACCCAGATTCTGAATTCTGTCTCTGTCATTACAATAATTTCAGTCTGGTTAACAACCATTGCTGGGAGACTAGTTTGTTTGGAGGTAAGGGGACACTCTGGCTTTTTAAGTGGCTGGAAAAAGCCAGAGTGTCTTGCATTTATTCTTTCTCATCTGAGAGAGCTGGTGTTCCTTTAACTGTGATGTAAGATAAATGTTGTCAGTTGGCTTCATTTCTAGGTACTTTCAGAGTGCCAAGGCTCTGTATAGGATTTTTATTTGTGGCTGGATTTTTGCCTAGGGTTTCACAGGCACTGTATACTGGCAAAATATTTTTGTCATTCTAATTTGGGCTGCGATCCAGTAGATGACACTTAATAGGGAAGGCTGGCAGATAGGCTCTTACTCAGTCATGTGGCTCTTTGGTATTTTAGCACATTCTCAGTAGCGCTGTGTGATGTGGGGAGAGAGATGACATCCTCACAGGTTTGCTCCAGAGCCTTGGAGGAGCCTCCTCTGATCACTGGTGCCACACTCACATTTCTTTCCCTCAGGCAGAGGCCATGGCTGGCAGACAGGCCACACCTTTTCCCGACTGGCCCTGCAGAAGGAGGCATATCTTGTTCCCCCATCTGCCCATGAATTCACATGTCTCACTCCTCTCAGTGTTCTGGGAGCGGGGGCTCCTCCCCTCCTTGGGTGCCACCCATACCAATAAGTCTCGTCTGGCTAGGAGCAGCAGGGGTGGATGAAATAGCATGGACTGTTGTCCAGGTGTTTCCCAGAAGAACCCAGGACTGTGTCTCTTGGCAGAGTTCAGGTAGGAGTGGGGCTGCTGTGCTGATGCCTAAGCTAGCAAGTTCCGCCTGGGTAGCAGCAGCGGGGGTTGGTAGAGTTGTGCGGTCTGCTATCCAAATGTTTACACTACTTCCTTGATTTACTCTTTGTTTTATGCAATCATGAATTCTCATCCTTATGACTTTGAAGAGTGGTGGTACGTGCCATCCAGCAAGCCTTTTGAGGGCAGAGTTGAGGACTAGGAACATCTGGAAACGTTGTGACCCTACCGCAGTGTCTTGGTCAATTAAATTATTTTTTGAATTCATCAAATCACAAACCCAGTCAAGGCCAATTTCTTCAGTGTCATGTAGGAATATTTATAATATTCGTTATTATTGGTAGAAGTACCCCTACTAGTAGTGTTTCCCCTTTTGTGCCTTTCTTTGTTTTGTTTCACTAGCCCAGATTGTATCTTTTTTTCTTTTTTTTCTCCAAATTCTACAATCCTTCAAAGTTCGGATCAACTATTTTATACCTAATTATTGCCCCTTTCTCTGCCTGATTCAAATACCTTAGTACTTGTTTCTTACAATTTGTACTTAAATATCACTGCAATCATTTATATATATAATAAATATATTGCATATATGTATACGTGTGTGTGTGTGTGTGTGTGTGTGTATCTCATATGGAACCTGTGTAGTGGTTTGCACAAAGTGTGAGCAGAAAGTACAGAGTTCCCATATAGTCCTTCTCATCTATTTTCCTCTATCATTAACATCTTGCATAAGTGTGGTACATTTGTTAAAATTGATGAACCAATATTGACCCATTATTATTAACTAAAGTTTATGTTAGAGTCCACTGTTTTACATTATAAGTTTGGACAAATGTATAGTGACATGTATTCATCAGTACAGTATCATACAAAATAGTTTCGTTGCCCTAAAAATTTCTTGTGCCCCACCTATTTATCCCTCCTTCCCCTGAACCCTTGACAACAGCTGATCTGTTTACTGTCTCCATAGTTTTGCCTTGTTCAGAAGGTCATATAGTTGGAATCATATAGTATATATCCCTTTTAGATAGGCTTTTTTTTTTTTTTTTTGCTTAGCAATATGCATTTAAAATTCCTACATGTCTTTTGCTGGCTTGATTGTTCATTCCTTTTTATTGTTGAATAAAATTCCATGGCATGGATGTACTACTGTTTGTGTATTCACCTGTTAAAGGATATTTGTGTTATTTCTTAAAGAATACTCTTTTTTTAATGCAGGGTTTAAAAATTGCTTTAGTGCAGGAGTAGAAACTAAAACTTATTTCTAGAAACCGGAGAAATCAGAAAATATGCCATATAGTGAAGCATTCCGTTAAAATTGCTTTAGCTCTTCTGAGATCAATGCCTATATTGCATCAATATATAACAATATTTACATTTTAAAAATAAATGCATTGTTATAATAATTAGAAATAGAAACATTTAATTTTTTTAAAATTTTCTGCCTAAACAAGATTTCCCAAAGCATGACAGTATAGAGAGAATTTTTTTTTAAATTAATGTTTATCTCTTTATTACGTTCCACAAAAAAGTTAGAACTTTTAAAATATATGGTTTGAATGTTTTGTCCCACCCAGGATTTGTGTGTTGAAACTGAATCCCCAATATGACGGTATTAAAAGGTGAGAGTCTTTGGGAAGTGATTAATTCACAAAGGGGTAGCCCTTATGAATGGATTAATGTGGTTGTAAAAGAGGCTTCAGAGCGCTACCTGACTGTCTTTCCCTTCCGTCTTCCCCCATGTGAGGATGCAGTAGCAAAGTGTCATCAATGAAGAATGGTGCCTCAGCAGATAACTGAATCTGCAAGTGCCTTGATCTTGGACTTCTCAGCCTCTAGAACTGTGATAAAATAAACTTCTATTATTAGAAATTACCCAGTCTGTAGCATTCTGTTATAAAAGCACAAATGAACTGAGACAAATATATATTTCGTTAAGGCTTGTATTACAGAATCCAAGAATGCAAAAAAAAAAAAAAAAGAAATAAAAGGTGGGGGGCCTAGGGTCATCTGGTCCATTTGGTATCCAATATCTGAATTTCTTCTCTGACATGGTAGGCAGGTGGTCTTATAATATATGTTTGGACATTTCCAATGACAGGAAAATTACTCTCTTATAAGTCAACTGGTTTTACTTTTTTAGATAACTCTAATTGTTAGAAAGGTCTTTCTTTTATTCAACTAAACTGTTTTCCCATAATTTCTTACCATTCATTCTAATTCTACTCTATGAATAATAAAGGATAAATTTAATCTTTTCCCCAATGATAGCCCTTTAAATATTCAAAAGATAGCTAGAATGTCACTTTCCTTATTAAACTTCTTAAGCACCTTATCATGTTAGACATTTTCGCCTGAATGATTTTGCTGAACGGTTTTTGCAGCTCTCTAAAAACATTTTGTGGATGCATACCTATATTCTTTTTTTCACTCGTTCATTCAGTAACTATTTTTTGAGTGCCTGCTACCTGCCAGATACTGTGTTAAGAATTGGGCATATAATGCTAAACTAGACAACAACTGGCCCTTCCATCATGCAACATGCAAGGGACAAAGATAGAGATTAATGGGGTGGGGGAAGCAAGGTATTCAGGGAAGGTCAGCCAGGAGGGGAACCTCCCAGACAGATATGTGGACATGTGGAAGAACCTGGAGCTAGAAAGGAGTTTAGCAAATTCTAGGAACTGAAAGAAGATCACTGGGACTAGAATGCAGTGAGAAAAGGTGTATGTGGTGGCTTTGAAATAATTACCACTATACATTATATGTATTGAAACATCACTATATACCTCATGAGTATGCACAATTAGTTTTCAATTAAAAAATAAAAAGAAATTGTAAAAATGTCCACAAATTCTTTCCTAAGATGGCACCTAATTTCCATCTCTTATATCTGGGCTGGACTCAGTGGTTCTTTCCTAGTGAATAGAATGTGATAGAAGTGATGCTTTGTGATTTCTGAGGTTAGGCCATTAAAAAGAACGGCTTCTACTTGACTTGCTTGCTGTTGTATCTCTCATTCTGGGAAAAGTCGGCTGCTATGGTGTGGGGACTCGCAGCAGCCTGCGGAGTATCTCACATGCAAGGAGCTTGAGGCCTCTGCCAACAGCACACATTAAGTTGTGAATGTGAATGAACCACTGTGGAAGTGGATCCACCTGCTCCAGTTAAGCTTTCCATTGACTGTAGCCCCAGTTGACATCACATCTACAACCTCATGAGACACCTCCCAAACCAGGACCACCCAGCTAAGCCACTTCTGAATTCCTGACCCAAAGGAACTGGGAGATATTTATTGTCATTTTAAGCCACTAAATGTTGAGGTAATTTGTTATGCAGATAAATGATAGAGAAGAGATGTGGCACTTGGTTTGCTTCTGGCTTCAAATAACACAAGACCCAACTAAAGTTATGAGGAGTTTATTTTGTCCCATAATAAGAAGTGCACAGGTAGTATACCTGCAGCATTGATCAAGTCAGTGGCCCAATCAATACCCAGGTCTTCACCATCTTCCTGCCCTGTTATTCTTGCCTTGTTGATGATGTCTCCTCATAGAACCACAAAGAGTCGGTGGTTTCAGCCATACCCTGGGCTAGATAGGCATTTCCTCCTGTGTGTTTTCATAGGTGAAGAAAATCTTCCCCTCATTCCTGGTGGTCAGAGCTGGATAAAATATCCACCCTTCAACCAATATCAGACAAGTGACACAGATCAGAGTAAACAGAACATACTGACAGACTGGATGTGGAGCATGAGAAGAAATGGAGAGGACCAAGGATGACCTGGATTTCTGGCTTACGCAACTGCGTGGAAGGTAGTATCTTTTTTTGTTTTGTTTTGGTGGGAAGATCAGAGTTGTGTGGAAAAATTAAGAGTTTTATTCTATTTATTATTATTATTGTTATTATTTTGAGACAGAGTGTATCTCATTTGATTCAGTGCAGCCTCATTGCGCTGCACCAGGCTGGAGTGCGCTGGCGCGATCTCGGCTCACTGCAACCTACGCCTCCCAGGTTCAAGCGATCCTCCTGCCTTAGACTCCCAAGTAGCTGGGATTACAGGTGCCCACAACCATGCCTGGCTAATTTTTGTATTTTTAGTAGAGACAGGGCTTTGCCATGTTAGCCGGGCTGGTCTCGAACTCCTGACCTCAGGTGATCCACCCACCTTGGCTTCCCAAAGTGCTAGGATTATAGGCATGGGCCACCGTCCCTGGTCAAGGATTCTATTATATTTATGTTAAATCTGAGAGGTCTGTCAGACATCTAAATTGAGATGTCAGGGAGCAGTTCGATATTTACATTTGGAATGAAAAGACGAGATAAAGACATAAGCCAAAAAGAGGAGGTAAAGATGTAATGAGCCAAAAGATGGTTTTTGAATCCATGTAGCGGATGACTCAACTGTGGGGGAGTGAATGAGAGGTGGCAGAGGAGGCCCAGAGCCAGGCTCTGAAGAACCCCCATACCCTAGCTTGGGGAAAGGAGGAGGTGGCAGCGAAGGGAGACCAGGAAAGTGGGCAGGAGGAAGAAAGGCAGAAAGTAATGTTGCCAGGGAAGCCACAAAGGGAGCAATTTCCAGGAAGGAGGGAGTGGTAATGATTTCCCATTTGCCAAAAGGTTAAACAGAATGAAGATATAAAAGTGAGCTTTGGATCTAGCAGAGCAGTTTGTGTGGGGCGGTGGGGGAAAGAGGCAGATTCCCAAGGGGCTGATGAGTCAATGGGACATGAGGAAGGAGAGACAGTGTGTGAATACAACTGCGTGGAGAAGTTGTCCTGGGAAGGAGCTAGGGTTGCTACAGTGGGGTGTTGGATCAAGGAGAGATTAGAGCACATCTTATGCCAGTGGGAACATTCCCATACAGAGAGGATGATTGATAATGCAGGAGGAATGAGGGACAGCGGAAGGAGTAAAATCCCTGCGAACAACACGCACACACATCTGTGCATAGTCATACTTAACTTTAAGATTAATTAGTAGAGTACAAATAAAATATTTGTATGTTGGGTGTATTAACTATTTTTTTGGCAAGGCAATTTTGCAAAGTGGCTAAGAACCGAGACCCCTAAACAGAGATTTTTAAATCAGCTGTGTGAACTTGGGGTATTTGGGTTATTTACTTAACCTCTCTGTGCTCCAGTTTCCTCATCAATAAAATGAAGATAGTAATAACAATACCTGCCTCATAGAGTTGTCAAAGTGACCTTGGTTAATATATGTAAAGTATTCAGAGCAGTGCTGGTACAGGGAACATTCTCTATGTGCTAGGCACCTACTTGCTAGTGTTTGCTGGGTTTGGTTCTGAGTAACTTAGGGTGAGGTGTTATCTTCAGAAAGAAAGTATTAATTTAAATTTTATTGTTATTTCTACATGCTTTTTGGATTGCTATGTGTGGACCTTTATAAAAAGTGCCATATATTGAGATGCAACCTCAAGAGATGAAATGAAATTTACAATTTCAAAGATAGTCATCTGACCATTAGTAAAATCATGGGTTAGTAGTTGATATTTATTATCTTCTGCCTGTTGGAGCTCTTGCATTGAAATAGAAAAATATTAAAAATGTGATATCTAGAAATTCATCAGAAAGCATCCAAAGATTATTTGGGTGGAGCAGCCCAGGTGCTAAATTAAACAACACAGTACAAGCTGGATAATGGATGTGAACCTTGTACTACATATGCAGCACTTTCTTCCTCTCTTACTGAATGTTAATTTCCACCCAAGACTGTATAGCCATTTTCAGGAGTCTGCAAAGATAGAACATTTATAGGAATTAATGCTCTGTGGGTATACAATGTGGAGACCCTGAAGAACTAAAAAAGCATGAATAAATGTATTCCAATTATAGGCTAATGCAGGTAATGGGTTTATAGTACTTAGAGGTCTGGGTCTGTTCTCTGACAGCCTGCAGACATTAGGGGCCCCTCATGGCTCTGCTGCAATGTAGGCATTATGGAGTGATTTTTACTTTACTGCCTTTTCCATCAGATCATCCCCTTTCTTTCACACACAAGGTTAATTCACTTCTTGATCACATTATTTCCTCGCTGCTCTTTGACAATATAAAAATTCTGAGTGGACAGCTCAATCCCTCTTCCATCTCAGATTTGATTGTTATGGTATTGCCTGGCGTCCCTCAGAGGCCTCCAGCAGCCTTTGCTGCACTTTATGACACTTAAATGGCTCGGCTACAATTTCTCCATCTATTCACGAAATGCTGTTAATAACTCATTTCCAAAGAGGCCCTTCTTTATGTCTTGGCATTAAAGGAATTTTTATTAGGTGCCAGGATAGGTGACACACAGCCCCAGTAACCAAAGAGTTAATTAATCTGTTGAAATTTATTGCCTTTTATACTGCACTCAGTGTGACAGTCCCTAAGAGAAACAGATACTATATTTACAGCCTGAGTTGAAATATTCAGTAATATAGTCTGCATACTGACCTACTCCATCAGTGTATGCCTTCTGCTGGAACATCCATTAATCACAGAAGACGAATTTGTGTAATCTATCTTCTTTCTTATTCTGAGATTCCAATAAATATTGAAATAATAATTTATTGATTACCTTGCAATATAAATGTGTAGTAAAGGCACCCAAGACATTTGCATGGTAATACATTTTGGAAGATTTTGGCATTCTATGGGAATGAAAGGAAAAAACTGTGAGGAGTGGCATGGAATACTCTTGTGGGTGGAACTCTAAACTGATTTCTTAACGTGTGGAGAGAAATGAGAAGAGCTTTTGAACTACTAGAAGTCATAATCATAGCAACGATCATTACATTCTTCAAAGTAAACATGAATATTTACTGAGTCTTACATTCTTTGAGTATTATCCTCAAAATGTTTTAGATCACAAATAATTTTCTTGTGCCACGATTTCACTTGTAAAGCCACCTCCTGCCTGCACTTAATCCAGGCAAAGATGAAAAAGGTATAGGCATGGGAATGCTAGCTTCTATGTAATACCAGTGAAATCTTCTGGGACCATTCTATAAATTCTTCAGGCTAAAATATATATTTCCTAGGACCATACTTTGAATAGTGTTTTAGGCTCTTGGCCTAAATCTAAATTCAGTCTTAAATTTTCATGAGTTCTGTTACTTATGGAGGTGTTAGTTTTGTCACTATGCTAGGATCATAATGATTTTTGCATCAAATCTGTCTTGATTCAGAAACATTAGAGAAGAGTATGAGAAGTGTTATAAAACATGAAGATATCCTTGTGGATCAAACATACTTATTTTTAAAAACTCTAGAAGTCTAAATGTGTCTGTATGTGGATATATTTTTAATGGACTTATGCTGTGTTGGGTAAAGGTAAACCAGCATTTTCTAGTCTATATTTGTGCCACTATCACCAGCATTACACGATAGGATTTGTTATAGGTTCAGTTCTTCTAGTTGAATCCAATCATGCACAGTTAATGTAGCCCATTTCTGGTCTCCATAATAATTTATCTTAGTTTTGGGCAACTCTTTATAGTCAGGATAACTCTGCAGAGTGGATGAAATTCTAATGTGCGGGATTTGTTTTCTAGTGCTTTGCTGATAAGGTTAACCAGATGGTGAAATGTAATAGCTTGGAAGATATAGTTTTGATATACAGTACATCATTTCTGGAATGATCATGAAAAAGCAAAATCAACAGAGCTTTTTAGATTCTCTTTTTTGGTCATGAAATTGAAAATATACCTTTTTAGAGAGAAATGTCTCATCATAGTTCTCCTGACATTTAAACTGCTTGGCTATATATTTTTAAAAGAAGACAAACTGTTTTGAAAATGTTGCTATAAGTTTTTATATATTGTGGATTTATATCTCATTTAAAAAATGAAAGATTATGCAATTTTTTATGTCACCTGAAGGAATGTCAATGATGTGAATTTCAAATAAAATAGATTTTCTTCAATATTTTTAGTAATGATGATATCAATTAATTCACTAAGGAACTCATATTTCTTCTAAGACAGTGAATTTTGATGAAACCACAAATCAGTGATTATCAAAATACTAGAATTAAGCAACCCTGAACATTATTTTGCTATAACATTTACTAAATTAGGCACAGATATTCTTTGAAGATGGACAATATACATTTTTTCATCTGTTTTGATTTTTGCTGATATGGATTATGTTAATTATGGAAATCTATAAGTATCTCACAAATAAATTATGTGGATGCATTTAACTATAGATTTTTCTTTGTGATTTTTCTTCTGCGATTTTTCTATGAGATAGCAAATTACTGCTTAATTGCTGTACTTTTTTGGTGCTTTTTCCTTTTTACTTTCAGTATTAATCATTGCTCCTTGTTCTGCTTACATAAAGGTACATTCTGATTTAAGTTCTCCCTGGTGTTTGGCTAATTGGGCTATTTGCTTAAAGCATACTCTGTTTTATGTCTTTATCTTCCATGGTATTTTACATTTTGGAATGACAGATTCTAATTCCTCTTCCACAGTAGCATAATTTCACAGTAGCATAACTTTGGGAATCCATTAAATTTGGCCTTTAAAACTCTGCTTTGTTTTTCTCCACACAGTAGTGAAAAGCGGTGGCATTTTCCACCACCCACAATGACTCTTCCCCTTTTTTTAGTAATGCTACTTTTTCTTTGCTTCTTAGTTCAAATCAACACAAAGTCTATTTCTTGAGCATCCATTACATGGCAAATTTTGTGTTGGGGACTGACTTTGTGAAGTCGAATAGGCATAATTGCTGCTCTCAAGCTGTTCAAAGTCAAAGTCAGTTGCTTGAGACAGAGAAGTAACCAATAATGATTTTTAAAAGCCTTTTTACCT